AAATAGGTAAAGGTGGCAAATTACGACACGACCCTCCAACACAATTTAAACATAACACGAGATAAGCAGACTTGGATTAACCTTAAATGGGTTCGGGTCATAAACGGGTTGACACGATTAACCCGCTTACTTAACCGTGTCGAGTTAGGGTGAGGGATTCAATACGTGTAACCCGTTTAACTCAACATGTCATAATCATGAATATAACATAAATAATATGTTACCTATTTAAATCTAATTACTATAGACAATTAAGTCGTTTTAACATAAACTTTGACTACGCCTTATGATTTTTCTTCTTAATAATTGTAATAAAATTTTTATAGTATTTATTATTTGATTGAATATTAAATGTCTCGTTTTGATAAACAGGTCATTAAACAAGTTAACACGTTAACCCATTTAATAAACAGGTCGGGTTAGTTTTAACGGTTCCTGACACGATTATTAAATAGGTCGATTTTGGGTTTACCTATTTAGTAGAATACCCTTATATCGACACGACAAGATTATGACCAGGGGCGGAGTCAGGATCTTAAGGTTGGGAGGGCCAAGATTATAAGCAACATTAGTACATTACTTAGCTAGAACTTTTGGGGAAAAAAAAAAAAAAATTGCCTAGGCAAATATATTTTACTATTTATTATATTCATATAAAAATATATCTATCTAAACTTTTGTCAAATTATTTAAATAAAAAAAGTAGTTATTTAAACAAGGTTTTTATCAAATTTTCTAAACAAACACCAATAAGATTTATGCCAAAAAAAAAAAAAAAAATTAAAAATTTAATTAAGCGGTTAGATTTTAATTTACAAAAAAAATAAGAAATTCATGTAATACTTTCATAAATTAATAATCATTACACAATATATCAATAAAAAAACAAACAAAAATGAATCAATTTTGACAAACTTAAATCAAAGAATATTAGCAAGTAAAAAGAAGAAGAAAAAAAAGTGATCGGAAAGAATTATGTATGAGATGGAATTCTAAGATTATAAGGTTGTTGAAAGAATCATGATTGAGTTGGATGGATTTTAAGATAATCACATTATGGAAAGAACTGTGTTTGAGTTGAAATTTTAAGACAGTCACATTAAATTTTTATGAGTTAGTTTTTATCGGAATTCTGTAGTAGTCATTTAAATCACTTTCCTTTAGATTATATATAAATTATCTTTTGTTAAATGCTAATTAAAGAAATAATAATTATTTTTTTTAGGGGGGCCAAGTATAGATTTTATACCATACATGCTATATTATTTTTATTTTTACCTATACTAAAAAAAATTCCAAACAATTAGGAGGCCATGGCCACTCCCAACCCCCCCTTGGCTCCGCCCCTAATTATGACACATGAACACGAATTGTCACCTCTTAAAAATAGGTCTTTTTAACAAAGCGTCTACTGTATAATAAACAAATTAAAAGAGTATTTTTTTTATAAAATTTCAAAACTTTCTGTTTGCCAAAATTACCTTAGTCACATACTTAGCCGTTATCTTTTTTATTTCTTCTTATTTTCTTCCGGCTTTTGTTTTCCAGCAAAATATCATCAATTTCTTTTCTTCGATCCTATTCCCACCGCTACGGCGCTACCTGATTGAGTTCTGAAAAAAATATTGAGAACTCTTGCCTTTTCACTTTCACATGTAAAGTTGATTTCCCTCAAAAATGAAAAAATAAATATGATTTTATTGTGACATATATGTTTTCTATTTCTTTTTTTTTTTTTGGGTAAATTACACAGTTGCCCCCTGAAGTTTGGTCATTTTTCAGGTAAATGAAGATTTTGTTTTTAACTTTCACTTACACCTCAATTTACTTTTTGGCCAACACATGTGAATGGACCCTTGCCGGTGCCCGAACTGGGTTCGCAATTTTGGCATCGAGATCGAGTATCTAGGTTCTTCGAGGCCATTATCGCCGGTGATTCACAGCCGCCTTCCGAGCTCGCCCAGCCACTGCCACCTCCAATCCACAACCCAAAACGATACGTACCCTGATTCGCACTTCGTAGCTGTCGTGTGTGTGTGTGTGTGTGTATGTATGAGATTGATGTGTGTATATATATAAGTAATCCATCTTGGGCATTGAACATGCACAACAAAAAAAAAAAAATTTAAAAAAATTTCTTACAGTGATTTTATATTATTTTAAAATTTTAATTTTACATAACTAGTTTTCTTCCTCCCCTCCAATTAAAAATTACTGGCTATGCTCCTGTCTGTATGTGCGCATATGGCCAAAGAGGTGGAGTTTGGTTGTTGTTTTTTTTTTTTTTTTAGCTGAGGGTCATTTTGGTCAAATAAAATGACTTATAAAAGTTAATATTGTACTTTAATGATTTAAATTAGGGCTGCAAGTTGAGCTAGCCCAATTCAGCCCAGTCCCAACCTAACCTCAACCCGAATCGAGTTGGTTTGGGCCAGCCCAAATATTTTCTAGCTGGTCGAGTCAGGTTGACGGGTTGAGATTTTTTTTTTTCTTAACAAAAATTTTTTTTTTTCCTGGACTTTATATATTATATATTTGATTATATTATTATTAAAAAAAAATACTTTTTAGGGCAAATCATTTCAGCCTCCCAATCAACTCCATCTCTATTCTTTCTGAACTTGCCTCCTCTCTCTCTCTGTGCAACTGCAAACTACAAAATCTACAAGAATCAGAAGTTCAAAACCCATATATTTCATTTTTATCTATCTGTCTACAAGAATTAAAAGTTCAAAACCCATATCGGCATATCATTTCAGATTGTTTAAAAAATCAAAACCCATATCTTTTAGTTTCTATCGCCCGCTATTCTAGTTCGGGTTCGCCTTTCGCAAGCTTCAGCCGTTGTCTCTCAACTTTCAAGCTTGCCCCCCCTCTCTCTGCAACTGCTAACTTGTATGTATGGGTTTTGTTTTAATTTTTTTTTTCTAAAACAATTAATCAAGGTCTGTAAGACTGTAATTCTTGTTTTACAAATCAATTAATCTTGGTCTGTAAGAAGGGCGGCGGCGGCAGAGAGAGAAAGAGAAAGAAGAGAGAGAGAAAGAAGAGAAAGGAGAGAGAAAGGAGAAATTAAATTAAATTATTATTATCATTATTATTTTTTTAATTTGGGTTGGGTTTGGGTTGAGCCCAATCTAACCCGAATATGTCTGAGTTTTGAAAAAATCTAACCCGAACATGAACTCGATTTGTGAATTTAAAGCCCCATTTCAAAATTTCTGGGTTGGGCTGGGTTAGCCCGCCCAAGTTGCAGCACGGCCTAATTTAAATGGTTCAATTCATAAGTTAAAGGGTAATTACGTACTTTTATCATGGTTAAGGTGTTGTTATTTAAGTTTACAAATTTGGGAGGTAATTGGATCATACTCTCCTTAAATTGTAGCAAACTTAAGGGGGTGTGATTGCAAATTACCCTAAGGTCGGTTTGGTTAGACGGAAAATTATGATGGAAATTGAAAAGTGAAAGAAAGGAAAAGGAAATCAAGTTTCCATCATGCATTTGGTTAGCAAGAATTTTATTTAAGAAAGTTGTGAGAAAATACTATTTTGTGAGTTTAGAAAGCATGTAAGTGAAAAGAAAGTGATTGCAGTTACCAAAACTACTCTTTTAGTTATAAGATTATTTTGCACTCTTTTGAGACATTGCTCTATAATCTGAATTATGAACAAAATTAAAATTTTAAGTTCAAAATGAAACAATGAATCTGATATATAATAATTTTATGTATGTGATTATAGGTACAAGTTTAATTAATAAAAAAATTTGTTCCGAAAAATATTTAGGAAAAAAGATTGAAATTAATATACTTGTAGTCATAGAAAAAAAAAAAAAAAAATTGAGCCTAAACGAAATACAATGCAATGCTTCACCTAAATTAGTTTGATACATTTAATATATGTAGAATTAAAATTAAATTAGTTTGCTATATCTAATTACTTAGAGTCCTAAAATCGATAGAAGTCTATGTATAAAAAAGTACATGTATGAATTAAATTGTAAATTGTATGAGTAGAGACACTAATCCTAATATTTCACCCAACACTTTGCTTAGATTTATTTATTAAGATTATATATATATATATATATATATATATATATATATATATATATATCACTCTAAATCATTATTAATTATGGAAAGAAAAAAATATAATAAAATTTTAATTTTGTATGCACGTATAAAACTATATTCAATCAAAATAGTATTACATTATTATATAAACAATTTACAATAGAAGGGAACTGACCTATTGATGAAGTTTGTGGAGAAAGTGGCATGGGCATAATAGGAAACTAAGATATGAAGGGCGTCACTTTTACGGGAAAGTAAAATTTTCTTGTGTTTTTTGCGAGAAACATTTTGAGGAAAATTAAGCGGTTGTGAGAAAATTACTTTCTAAAAATTTTCTCTTTTACTCTAACCAAACTTTATCTACTTCATGCTAACCAAACGAAGCTATAGTGTTTTCTTGCCTTCCAAGTGAAATGGCAAAGCTCAAGACTAGCAAGGGCAGAAAAGTAAATATTTCTCATTGTAGATACAGCAAAATAATTGTTATTTTCTTACCAATCATAAAAATAAAAACAATACTTACAAATTAATTACCCTTTTTCGCATTTTGCGCCTTCGAATGCATTAATAGCACAGGGGACACGCTTGGCATTAAATAAATAGACCCCACCTGTATCCAACAAAATGGTAGTAATATACCCCATGACCAAGTCCAACAATTATTTTTCTTGACTTTTCGACACACCCAGTGACTCGGTATATGAAATAAAAGAACGATTTCTTGTTAGGTACACAAACGTCTATATATATATAATTAAGTTTGAAATCCTCCACACTCCCATTCTCGGTCTCTGCTAGTTTGATAGCAAAATTTCTTCATCTTTTTCAAAATGAACCCCAAACCGAAACCAGAAAAAATTCGACCCCAGACCTTAGAACACTCGATCATCGTCTCCACTCTCACACACGTTATAAACGGCTGTGATGGTGATGATCCCACCACCACCGCTCTACTACAAGCCCTCCAGAGTTCCACCAGTGGGACCAATATTTTCCCGCCAAATAATGAAGAAGAGAAGGAAAAGAGTAAGAAGGGGTACAGGGGAGTCTGGCAGAGGCCGTGGGGGAAGTGGGCTTTGGAGATACGAGACCCCCGGAGAGCGGGTGTGGTTGGGCACGTTCGATACGGGAGAGGCGGCGGCAAGGGCTTACGACAAGGCTGCCATTGAGTTCTGTGGAGCCAGAGCCAAGCTCAACTACCTATTGTCAGAATATGATACAGAGGGATCAAACTTGGAACGAAACCGAGAAAATCAAGAGCTTAATCCCAATGCAACTGACAAAGCACAAAGCTCACAGTACGGAAACAAGGAAGAGCTCAGGGCCAACTCATTGGAGATGAAGAGTAGTGAGACAGAGACAATTACGGAAGAGGGTGAAGAGTTTTGGGAAGACCTTCCTCCACTTAGTCCACTATATATAGATATATAATTAAGATCAAGCGCAAATATATAAATATTATAAAATATTATTATTATTATTTTTCAAAGCAAGAATGTCAGGGGTTAATAGTGTTGAAAATAAGCTTGATTTTAGTATTTAGTATTTTCAAGTATTTTTGTATCCATGATGCATGTGTTAATTTAGCATGTTAGTGGGAAGTAAATTGTCTTAGTGGGAGTTAAGGTTATGTAAAATAAAGAGTCATGAGAGTTAAGCCTAACAAATACTATGTTAGTGAGAGTTATGCATATTGAAGATTATGTTAGTGGGAGATAGGAGAGTTATGGACATTTAAATGTAATGGTTACACATACATATGTGAGGCCTATATATTTATGTACTCTAGTCAAATAATAGATCAAGTGAAATAAAAAGTATTTTCCTCCATTTCTATTCTCTTCCAAATAGTATAGTGTTGTGTGTGTAACTAGGCCACTATTTCCAACAAAGTGGTATCAGAGCCAGATTTCATGTTCAGAGCCTAGGCGATCCTGAAGGCCAGACGAAGTTGATCCTAGAAGGTTCAACATTTGGGAAAAACATGTTTCTCCTTGATGATGATGAAGGGGAGAAAATGTATTTTCTTAGTGAAAAGATGATGTTCTCTAATTACAAGAGAATGAGAATTATCATGACTTCATACCTCAAAGCATGCGATTTGTGGGATGTTGTTGGAGAAGAGCCAAAGAATGGTGTTGGCCTAAGGATTTTATCTAAAGGTCAATCTTATGTTTTGATGATTACAAACCATTAATGATGTTCAAGTACTAATGTTTTCGTTGAGTGATATATAGTTGATCAACATTCAATCCTCAATGATGAGCTAGAAGATCCATTCCAAGCATTCCAAACATTCAAGCAATGGATTCAAGGAAGCATCAAAGTTGCAAGAAATCAAAGAAAAACTTAGACTTCAAAGATCACACAAAGCATTTCAAAGAAAGAAAGCAAGTCTTCATCAAGCCTAAACGATCATGGTCAAAGAATGAAGAAAAGGGTAGATAGGATGGTGAGAGCTTAAGATTCAATGTCAAAGTATATTTGAATATTTTTTGAAGCTCAAAATTATAGGACCATGCATATCATATATCATTCATATGCTCCTATGACCACTAGCAATAGACTAGGAACTTCATTTATATATATTGTCATATGAAATCTTTGCTAAGAAAGAGTTAGTTCAAGCTTGATAAGCTTTGAAAGAACTCATTTTTTAAGCTAAAAATTCTAGGACCATGCACATTAATCATTATATTTATTTTGGTCTCTAAAAAGAAAAGGAAAAGGCATTGAATTAATTTTTTATCTTTAAAGCCTTTGTTGCCAAAATTTGGTAAATGACTCTAGGACACAATGCACTTGAAATTTATCATCTTCATATGTCCCTAGACTCTTAGAAACAGGCCTTGAACTTAATTGAATCATTCATCAAAGTCCTAGGTGCTAGAAAGATGGATATCTCAAAAGAAGCTATTTTCAGCCTTGAAAATTTCAGACCAGCTTGCACTAAAACTGCTATAACTATTTGTGTAGTTGGAATTTTTACACAAGGCCAGTGGCATTGGAAAGCTGACTTCGAGCCCTTGAGTTTAGACTCAAATTTCACCTAAATTGGATTAAAAATGACTGAGATATGAGCTTCACAAAATACCTGATTCTGCTCTGCGAAAATTCTGACCGGGTTGCACTTAAATAGCCATAACTTTTTCTATGGTTGGAATTTTTGAGCAAGACCAGTGGCTTTAGATAGCTGACTTTAAGACAATAAATTTAGACTCAAATTTCACCTCATTTGGAGTTTCATGGACTGAGTTATGTCCATTTAAAGTCATGCACTTTTTTCTGTCCAATTTAGCAGCAGCCTTCATGAAGCAAGAGCAGCCTCTATAAGAAATAGAGCCAGCTTTCTCAAAGACTAGAGAAGGCTCTACAAAATTAGAGACGGCTTAGGAAAGTAGAGAAGGCTCAATGAAAAACTAGAGAGGGCTCTACCAAAATTAGAGAAGGCTCAGGAAAGTAGAGAAGGCTCTACAAAACTAGAGAAGACTCCATTTTTCTATTGAGCCGTCACTATTTCAGAAAAAGAGCCTGCTCCACTTTTTTAATGGAGCCGCCTCCATTTGAAATTGAGCCGCCTCCACTTTTGCAAAGAGCCGGCTCCTTTGAGGGTTTTGAATTACAACGGCAATATTTCTGCATTTATTTCCTCTAACCACTTCTAACAGCTATATTGAGCTATGAATTTCTTTATATATACAGAGGGCTTGTCCGAAAAGAATACACGATTTTAAGAGACATCATATTACATTGCAAAGAGAGCTTTTGTTCTCAATCTTCTCATCATCTCTCTCATTTTACTCTTATTCTATCTTGAGAGATTCCAGTAAAGATTAAAAGGGCTGTTGCTCTTGTTTTAATCTTCATAGAGTTTTTGCTCTATTATACTACTTGAGAGAGCATTCAAGAACATTCATTCAAGTGCATCAAAGAGAGCTTTTGGCTCTACCATTATACAGAGCTTTTGTTCTGGTTATACTCACTCATAGAGCCTCTGTTCAGACATCGATCTTTATCTCATATACAAGCTTCCATAGTTGAATCAGAGTGAACTTCAGAGAGCATTTAGTAAGCCTTTGCTGAACTTTTGTTCTAGTATTTCATCAGAGCTTTTGTTCTGTATTTTCCTCATCATCTCTCATACATTTCATACTTAGAGTTTGAGCTTCACTTGATTTCATATATACTCTATTGTGAGGTTTGATTTGTATCAGTTCTTGAGAGGATTTCTTGTATTACAAATTCTATCTACAAATCTGCTGTAAGCCTAGGAGGAAGAGTTTCTCTTAGCAAAGAAATTGTAAGGGCTGGTGTGGCCTATGTAAAACTAAGAGAGGCGGTCTCTTAGCAAGGATACTGTAAAGGGTTGGTGTGACCCAAAAGGAAGCCTAGGAGAAGGGTGTTTTCCTAGCAAGAAAGAGAAGCAAGGTCTTGCTTCAATTGAAGGTTTGCTCTCCACCATTAAGGAGAAGCTCTAAGGAATTTGGGAAGTCTCAAGAGGAATCTTGAGCCGAGGAGTAGGAGTTTCCGAACCTCGCAAAAATCGCCGTGTTATTGTTTGCAATTTCTCTTCCCTTATCTCTTTTACAGTTATGTTAAATTGATTACCTTCATATCTTGTTTATTACATAATTGGTTATATCGTTGATTAGAATTGTACTTCTATAATTTGCGAAAATTGGCCATTGACTCTATTCACCCCCCCTCTAGAGTCAATTCTTGGGTAACAAATGGCATGTCCAACAAGCTTCATGAAAAGAAAGAAGTTAAGGCATTGGTAGTGTTGCAAAAGGCAATACATCAAGAAATTTGGGAGTATTTTGGAGAGTCCAAAACTCCAAGTTGTATTTAGAAGATGCTCGAGACCATCGTTTCCAATCATAGAGGTGAATCACTACCCATGGAGTATTGGGTACAATGCTTTGAGAATGATGAGTTTACGAAAGATGATTATGAAAGTCTTGAAGACAAAGTTGTGGAGAATGAAGAGGTGTATCATGCAAAAGAAGTTGAAGATTTTGGAGATTCAAAAGTTGAAGGAGAATTTGAAATGGTGAATAAGGAAGAGGTAAGAAAATGTCTTAAAGAAGAGATTGAAAAAGTAAAGGAGGATGAAGTGAAAATAGAAGATTTAGAAGAAGGAAGTGCTAAAGAAGAGGCAAAAGTTCAAGTTGGTGAATTAACATCTTCAGGTATGGTTACAAATTCCACCTTGAAGAAGTTATGTTTGACTTATTTGATGAAATTATTATTTCTTCATATTCATCAAATAATGCTTATTTTGTGGAGAATGATGAACTTCTCTTAAAGAAAGTTGTTCCAAAGAAGTATGAGATTGAAGCCCAGGATGATAAGAAATTCTCATATTATTTTTTAAAAAATAGTTTGGAGAATTTTGTAATTGATACAGGTTGGGTGAATATGGAATTATTTTTTGACTCTAAAGAAGAAGTATATGTGAAGTTGAAGATCCATAAAAAATTTAAGAAGAAAAAAGATCGATGGTGTGCTTGTATAAAGAGGATGATATATGATTATGTGAAGACATCAAACAAGCATTTGAAGAAGTTTCACAAGCCCTACACATCAATGGAAATTGCCAAGAAGATTGAAGCTATTGAAGGAGGTGGAATTGAAGATCAACTATTGAACTTTTGATCAAGCCCCCAAGATTAATAAGAAGGTTTTTCAAGTTACAAAATCAAGTTTAAAGGGGGGTGTTGAAAATAAACTTGATTTTAGTATTTAATATTTTCAAGTATTTTTGTATCCATGATGCATGTGTTAATTTAGCATGTTAGTGGGTAGTAAATTGTCTTAGTGGGAGTTAAGGTTATGTAAAATAAAGAGTCATGAGAGTTAAGTCTAACAAATACTATGTTAGTGGGAGTTATGCATATTGAAGATTATGTTAGTGGGAGATATGAGAGTTATGGACATTTAAATGTAATGGTTACACATACATATGTGAGGCCTATATATTTATGTACTCTAGTCAAATAATAGATCAAGTGAAATAAAAAGTATTTTCCTCCATTTCTATTCTTTTCCAAATAGTATAATGTTGTGTGTGTAATTAGGCCACTATTTCCAACAAATAGTTAGTTTTTACAGTTTTAAATTTTTTATATCTTGAACATAGTGTCAAAAGAAGAACGATATTCGATTCATTAAGGTATGTATAGTTATTGAAATTTTTTAAAAATATTATGAATAGACTGATATGTCGTGTATTGGCCAATATGAAACGTGACTGATCCTATATAAATTATAGAGGGCGTGCAAGAGAGGATTTAAAAGAGAAGGGGCAGTTGGCTTGTGGTAGTGTTCAAAGGAAGAAATATGAATGTGAAATTTGTCTCACATTGGTCAGAGTAAGAAAAAAAAAAAAAAAAAAAAAAAAAATGAGGTTCTATAAATTTAGTAACAAA